AAGGTGTGGGGAACGCGAAAAAGCGACTAAACAGAGCCGTTGTGAACTTGTTTTCTTTGGATTTTTTTTTGCTACTTTTTTTTAAAAGTTATCAGTGTGCTGCGGTTAAACTGTGCTGTTGCCCTTGGTAAATAGTTCAATGGTAAACATTACAAGCGTAAATGTGGTTAAAAGTATGGACTACCTTTTTGCCTCAGTCGGCATAAACAATTATGGGCTGCTTTTCTTGTGAACAGAATTTATGCTCGTCTCCGGTTATTCCTTGTTGTAAACAGCCCGGACAATGGGGTTTTTTACAAACATAATAGTCTTTTCAGAACTTTTTTTGCGGGTTAGTTGCGTTAGTTTCAGTAGACATATTGTTTTTGTTTTTAAGCTGTTTAGCATTTATCTCTTTCCCTTATTCACTCTTTTCATGCAGCTAAATTAGTTAAAGCATACTGGCCAAGCACATTCTTTGATAATTCTCCTTGCCAGGTTCCTCACTCTTTCTTGTCCTCAAAATGGTAAACTGTCTGTTCGATTAAGACTAAAATGCCTGTTGACAAGGCTTTTTCTTTTTTTGCGAACTCTTGGTGGGCTTGGTCTTTATCTTTGAATAATCATTGCTGGCTCATGTTTAATTAGCGTTTAATCAAGCTCAATTCTGTTGGCATTCTTGGCTTAATTCTTTTAACATTTCTAAATAGTCTAAATCCTGCTTGCTTTTTCGCCCTGGTTTGCTCTGAATAGCCTTAATTTTGGTTTGAACTGCCCGTTGGTGAGCGTTTTGTTGGGCTTCTTTTAGCATTGATTTCTGGTTATAGTAAGCGTTTTTTCATTGTTGGGCTTCGGCTTCTAGTTGCTTGATTTTAACTTGGAGTTTTTGAATCAATTGTCTTTCCGCTTGCTTTTCCTGTGCTTCGTAAGGTTGGTGAATGGTTTGCCGGTTTGCTTCTTCGTTGATTTCTTGGGTATTTAACGGTTGCCAAGTACTACTAAAGCAAAATTCTCCGTCTTGCCTGAAAACAAGCGAACAAGCCCCTTCTTTAAGCCTTCATTGGCTAAATGCCGTTCATTTCTTGCCGGTTTCTT